ATTTGGTGCTGGTTGCTTCCAAGATTTTTCTCAATAATAAATAAAATGTATTTTACATATGTATTTGATATTTATGGGAAAATAAATAAAGATAACCGTGTATGGCATCAAATATGACCCCAAAATTCATTATTTATATTTACTATTAATAATAGTAAACTTTATTACTATATATCCCCAAAAGCCCGTTCTTTATTTTTCAACTTATACCATTACTATATATATATATATATATATATATATATATATATATATATATATATATATATATATATATATATATATATATATATATATATATATATATATATATATATATATATATATATATATATATATATATATATATATAAGCCCTTTTATTCAAAGGCGCGTACAAAAAATTCATGGGGTTCTATTTCCTCCACGTAACCTAACTCTAAACGACGCATCCTACAAACATATGTCGACTCAAATCCTTCCCAATCGTCACAGCCAATGTCCTGATGCCGCATAAAACGAATTCACGCTATTCTAATACATCCACGTAACCTATCCTCAAAACGAGGCCACTTACCAATACGTCGATTCACTTCTTCATACCGTCATTTCTCCTCCTATGCCTCACCTTCTATATATATCCGTTCTTCTTTGGTACCGTCTACAACTAAAATAATGTGTTTCCAAGGATTCCACATTACTCATCGTTTGAAAGACAAGGACGCCTATCAAATGGAACACCCATTTGGAAGACGCACTGGTTTCACATGTAAGTGTTTTTTAAAATTTGGGTTCTAATTTTGCTACACTTGGTTCCGGTGTTTAACAAGACTAATTTTTTTTCCTAATTCGAGAATTTTAGTAGATTTTTTTTTACCATCTATGGTTCTACTTCTTCTATTAGATTTTGAATTTCCGATCATGTCTTCTTTCTGTGTCTTTTCTTTCGTCCGCCGATCTCTTTCTTTTAGAAATCGGTTTGGGATTTTCTGTTTATCGTTAAATGACTCTCCTCCGAAGAACTCTTGAATTAATCTATGGGTTTTAAATCTGTGAGAAAATTAATAGGTTTTTAGTTTTAAGGTTCCAAAAGTTTTTATTTTATACATATAATAGTCAAAGTTTTTATTTCTTCTTTAGGTCTTGGGAGAACCACTGATAATTTGGTTCGTTTTCTGTATAATGTTTTTGGGCTTCAGTTGTTTTCTTTTGTTTTCTCAATTGGAATTGATGATGTTCAATCTGTGGATGTTTTCAATTGCTTATAGGAAATCCACCTTTGCCCCAAAATATCGTATGTTAGATTTTGGATTGCAAAACTTGAGTGTTTTAGAGATACAAGAAAAAAAGGTTTTTTGGATACCGAAGAGGTTATATACGAGTCTCAAGGAAATATCAAATTCGACAGACTTTAAAAATCCCAAAACGTTTTGTTCCAGCTAGGAGGATACTTAAGCCCAAAACCTTGCATCATTATGTAGTTGTACACTGTTTACTTTTGAGGAAAACTCTATAAATCTACAAAGTCGACATTGCTAAAAAAGTTTTAATCATGCAAATGTTCATTATATGCATGGACTAGGGCACTTTATAGATGCAATGTGAAACTGTTAATTGAAACTTACTGCATAATCATGTTCTACATTGTGAACATAGAACAACCGGTTATTGTGGGATTGAAGATGTAACAATTTACTGACTTTCTGTCACTCCCATTGCTCAAAACATCAAATTTAATTAGGTTTTATTTACTTCCCAAATTGCTTGGTATCTCTGTTTTTAATCTCTACAAATAAATGTTGTGGTTTTTATTAAATAGATGTCTTTTTATCTATTATGTATAGATCCTTCATGAGGCAATTGGTGCACAAATGAAGAAGAGAAGGTGAAATGTATAAAAAAAAAGTGCATATTAAAGTGTAATTGAAAGTGAACTTATGAAAAAGGTATAGTTTAACTACCTCTAGGGTTGTTGTATATCAATAAATATTCAAAAGTATTTATTGTAATAAGAAATTTAAATGCAACCATTAAAATTGTAGAAGCCATGAAACATAAACTTGGTAGATGCATGAGAGGGCAACCAGGATAACTATTTTGATGACATTCACAGATCATTGATATTGATTATCATGAACTACGAGATTGACATCTCATTTACGAGATTGATATTGATTATCATTCACAGATCATTGATATATATATATATATATATATATATATATATATATATATATATATATTAGTTCACGATTGAATAGTTATGGACTGATGATAAATTTTCAATTTTCATTATGGGAACCTTTAGGTTGTGCTTAGTTTATTATATCTTTTGTCTTTGAAGATGTTTATCCTGGTGGTTTGTCCCTTTCAAAATCTATTACGGACATAATGTTCTAGTTCGTCGTGTTAAGCAAACATAAGTTAGAATATCACATTCTGGTTAATTAAGAACTTGTATGTGAGCTCAAACCCGTGCAATTCAAATTTCATAAGCATTCTGTTTTATTTTTTGCTAAACACAAAAAATAAAAAAGTTATTTGATAGGTCCTGTTGTATAAATGTCAACCTAATTGCAAAAAGTCAGATAAAAAATTTAAATTTTAAGTATTATGTACTTGATATTTACACTTGATATGAGCATAGGCAGGTACAATACGAAATTGACCTGGACTGTAATTGGAATTGTTGTTCCTATAAAATTGGAATTTGGAATTTATGAACGTGACATAGTTTCTTAGTATATTTGAACAGCTCCTAGAACTGTTAGGAACCTATTCTAAGTTCCTGGTTTTTGAATTTTTAAAATTATTTTATTAGATTTATCAAATAGATCACACTCACAAAGTATTGTTGGGTTAATCGGTTGGTCCATGAGTTAAAGCTTTTGGATTTAAGAAGTATTGATTGTTTTATATTTTATGTTTTAGTTAATACTTCATTATTTAGCCTTGGGAATTACTTTGACCAGGTTTTATGGAAGTATACGGGTCATTAGCCTTGACTGGTTCTTTAGGTGAAGTATGAAGCATGATGTCTTTCATGTATGATGTGGGTATCTTCTCAAGGCTATATAATGCCAATACTTATATGAATAAATTAGTGCTCTTTAGTCCTTTCTTCTCCATATTTTATTTGATTTCACATACATATTATACGTGGGTAGTTTGTGCTTCTAAGGGACCTGATCCTACAAGTTTATCTTTTGTTAAAAAAACATTTGATAAATAGTGATTAAAGAGTGTTTTTAATTCTTTATATTTTTCAAATAGATCACAATCACAAAGTTCATCTTTTGGTATTTTTTTAAAAGAAGGCTAATGTTAGAATTGGTAAGAGTTTACAAGTACCACGACTTAATATTAAACGCTTATACTTTCAAATTTCAACATTGATGTTAAGCTTATTTTTTATATATATTTAAGTTTTACCATAAAAGTTGAAAATGAACTACAATTTATATGCCTAGGTATAACCAACTGAAAAGATTATGACTTACGAGTAAAAGTTACATTTTCATTGCTAAAGTTTTCATAACAACACAAATTTGTGTTATCTATAGGTCATTGCAATAAGATGTTATAATGTGGTAGCTTTAAATGCAAAATGCCTTAATGCGAAAAAAAAATGATTGATATTGTTATTGTTATAGCAAAATATCAGTTTCTATTGTTATGAATCATTATATGATTGATATGCATGGAAAGATACTTCATTATAAATTATGTTTATAAATGCAAAAAAAAAAAAAAAAAAAAAAAAAAAATTGAACTTGTGGTATTTTCAGCAATATAAGAAAAAAAATAGTAAATTCATGTTTTCCTTTTTATATTAATATTATCATTGTACATTACTTTTTATTTGATATAACAATGAAGTTATTTTTTTTCATAAATAGCAATGTACTTACAATTGTCTACCAATCATAGTAATATACTCAGTGTTGTAAAACTCGCCGAGTTGGTCGATTACTCCTCCAAGTACTCGCTATTCCACCCCTTACCGAGGCGAGTTACAGAATCCCGAGTACTCCCTGGTCGACCCTTAATGAAGTGAGTAGTGTTATAAAACTGGCTCAACTCGATGATCAATATATAAAATAAACTTCACAATTCATTATTTAACACACACACTTGTGATTATTACTACATATATCTCTTAAATTTTCGGTAATTATTTACAAAGTGAGACCATTATGTAGTTTTCAGTTTTTGTGTATTCACATGTATCTAATTTTGCTATATATTTCAATCAACATAAGATTTTAACTTATGATTTTGACATATACAAGTATCCTAAAAATAGCTCTACCTGAATTACCGAATCCGAGTCCTCCCCGAGTACTCCCGAGTATTCCTGAGTACTCGCTACCCAGTAGTCGTCCGAACAGGTACCGAGTAACGAGTTCTACGACCTTGAATATACTTGTAATTTATAAGAGTACACTTCCATTTTCATTCCCAATTCAAGAATTTCACATTGAAACTCCACCTACAACATTATAACTTAGATAACGGTGAACGGAATACCTGGTTACGATATGTGGTCCATGCTTAACACGGGTCTAAAAATACATATAAATAAGTAAAAATATATGTTTATACATTTCAAATACATAAAAATACATAAATGTATAAATGTAAAAACATAAAAATTCAAAAATACGTAAAAATAGATATAGATATGTAAAAAATATGTTTATATATTACATAAAATTTTTAAGAAACTCTGCAAAAAAAATCTCATTATTTTTGAAAAATTAACAATTTGCTCTCATGATATGTTGAACAAATCAAAAATGACTAAAGTGAATAAATTAGCCGGTTTTTTGGATTTTTGTATTCAAAAAGTGAAAAAGTTTGAACTTTCTTATTCAAAAAATAAAATTTACGATCTTATTAAAAATTTGACCAAAATATTGGGACTTTTTTGAAATATCACGTTTAATGATTGGGTTTGGGATTTTTAGTTTGAATAAAGGTTTAATTATGGGGGTAGTCTAGTCATTTCCAAATTAAAAATGACTTGGGGCTTTTTATTGATCGGGCAAAGAAAGGAGGATGCGAACGGACGAGGACGAACACGAAGCCAGCTGCGACGGAAAACGAGACGGTTGCGAGGTCTGATGGCAGTCGTCATCTCGCGAAGAAGATGGAGCCCCTCCGATGATCGACGGGGCCGAAGAGATGGAAAGGGTGAGGCAACAAGGCTGCTGTGTCTTACCGAACCGAAGGAGGGGATGGACGAACAGAAGGCAGCAACACCGATGATGGTTAAAAGTCGGAGGGAGGGTTCGATTGGGGTTCGTCATCCACATCAAGTCGAGAATATGAAAGGAACATGTAGTGGAAATCTCACAATAGGCATCGACTTCGAATGATTGATTGAAAACAGCAACAGAAACAAGGGAAGGGGGTTTTCTGGTGGTGATTCGAGAAGGAAAAGGAGAGGCAGAGGCCGCAGCTGGTGGCTTTCGTCGCCTTCTGCAGTGGTGGTAGGGGATGGCGATGGTGGGAGGCTACCGTGAAGACGATTGCAGCAACCGGTAATCCTATTGATTATATATATATATATATATATATATATATATATATATATATATATATATATATATATATATATATATATATATATTTGATTTAGCAATCAATCCAAAGGATGATGATAGTCGCAGAATGATCGATCAAGGGGGTGTTTGGGTTTCTTGTTTTCACAGGAAATGGGAGAAGGGAGAACGAAGGGGAAACTGCCCCGAAGAAGAAGAAGGAAGAAAAGAACAAGGGAAGAATGAAATGGAAAATATGATTCTTCTTGGTTGCACGTAGACACGAGATCAAGAACAAAATCGTTCTTGGCTGGGAACGAAGATACAAGCAGGAAAAGAAATTCGAGATGTTTTTGGGTAATTGTTTTAAATTCCATATATTTTTTTGTTGAATCAAGGATTAAGTCCCAAATCTCGGATGATCATTTATGTTCTTTAGTTGAATGTACTTTGATAGAAATTTCGAAGCAATGTCTTAAACATCATGCATCATGTATGTATGTACAATCTTGTGTAAGTGTAAGATTTTGTGAGAGGAAAGTAAACGTGTTTTGGATGTTGACTGTGAATTGTAGCATAACAGAATAGGGAAAGGAAGAGTGATAGAGTGAGAGAAATCATTCTCCTTACTTGTACAACTGATTTGTTTTCACATCTGGTTTGTCAAGATTTTAGCATGTAAGAGGTGATTTTGGAAATTTATGCTTAGGATTGTATTTGGTGCTGGTTGCTTCCAACATTTTTCACAATAATAAATAAAATGTATTTTAGATATGTATTTGATATTTAATGGAAAAAGAACAAATAAATAAAGAAAACCGTGTATGGCATCAAATATGACCCCAAAATTCATTATTTATATTTACTATTAATATATATATATATATATATATATATATATATATATATATATATATATATATATATATATATATATATTGTCCGGTTTCTATGAGAACTCATTTTAAAGTTAGGACAGTATAAAAAATTGAAAAAAAAAATACAAATCTAAAAATCGAGCATAGATCTATATTCGAGAGGAAAAATATTGGAAAAAAATTGCGTCATTAAAATTGATTAATGATTCAATTTTAATTTTTTATTTTGCATCATAATGATGCATGATTCAATTTTAATTATTCAATTTTTTTTTCCAGTTTTTTTCTCCGGACATAGATCAATGCTCAATTTTATTATTCATATTTTTTTAGATTTTTTTCAGCTTTTTTATAGTGTTCTTACGAGTCCCCACTTTAAAATGATTCCTCACTCGATGTGGTTATTTCACCATTTTATGGGAAACAACCCAAAATATGATGTTTTAACCATACATTTTGAAACTAGACTAGAAAATTACTATGTATTTATATAGATGATTGTATAAATAGTCTCAACAAACAAACATAATCTTTACAATTATATAAAGCATATTCAACATTTCTTGAAAATCTTAAGAGGTACAAAACTTTATGCATAATATACAATCATGTTATGCCTATTATCCATTAGGCTTATAACATGCAACGTATCCATTTAATTAAATTAAATAAAAAAAATAATGCGTGAGTCAAAAAAACATCTACATAGAAATCCTAATCGGATGCTCCTCTTTTCTCCCACGCCACCATCGCACGAGCAGTGAAGCAACATCCATTCCCTAACCTCACAACACCAACTATCTCCACCATCTCTCTGCCCTCACAACAATTTTTCGGCGATTAACCCCCACCACGATCCATCTCTGCCTCTCTTCTCTATCTTGACTTACTATCCAACCCTGTCACCACTCATCGTCACAGACAACACAATCACCGCTGCCGCTATCTTCACCGCCATCCGGTGGCTAAGTATCGTCGATCATCGTGCATGGACTTTGGCAACGGTGACCTTGGACTCGAGTTGTAACGCCCCGTTCTTAAAGTATTTATTTATGAGTCCCTGAGATTTAAGAGGAAGGGTAATTTTGGTCCTTTTATGGGAAATGGGTTTTATCCGAGAAGGTTTCGGACTGGTGTATGTTGACAGAAGCATAGGGCTTCTCGCCACCCTCGTGTGAATGTAAAGTTTATCGGGAGCGGGTTTAGAGTAGAGGAGTTACGGCATTTCCAAGGTAATATCGATTATAGATCTTAATGGGAAAAGTGGAAAGGGAAAACCAAGTATGAAGAAAAGGGACACGCTGGGTACGCCCAACATAGGCTGGGTTACGCCCAGCATAATTGGGTAAATGAACGCGGGGGCAAGGTCAAGTACACCCAGCGTACTCTCAGAATCCCCAAAACCCTAATTTTAAGACAACCACTATATAAGGAACATAAAGGTTTCCTCCTCAACCTCCATAGACACTCTCTTACCCCCAGAAACCCTAGAAATGAGTATTACCTCCATTTGTTGGGTATGGTTGGTCTTGGAAAGCTTGGATTAGCAAAGGAAAGCATAAAAGAAAAAAGGAGAAGTTGGCAAAGAAGGAGTGGAACGGCTGGAGCTTATAGATCTGGAAAGACATCATCCTTTGGAGCCTATTTGAGGTATAAAGCTTCTTGCTTGACATTTATATTGTGCAGATCTATGTGTTGTGAAGCTTTAACACCATTTTTGTCCCAAAAGTCCTCATCTTGATGCATGTTTCAAGTTGGTCGAGATTATCTGTCCTTTCAGACCTTAGGAGAGGTCTTGAGTGAGAAAAATGAGGTCCTAAGGGCTGTGGTTGTTCTATGTGTGAGATAAGTAGGTCTTAATGGACTAAGACCTTGGATTAAGAGCTTTATGGACATCCTAGGTGATAAAGTTTGAGACTTTATGAATTCTAAACATATTGGGCCTAAGGATTTGAAGTTTGGGCTTAAGAGCTTAACCCATTAAGAAGTTACATGGATTTGTTGAGCAATGAAGTTACGCCCCGCGTAACATGGGTGTACGCCCAGCATAGCGGGCCAGTGCCCTGATCCCATTTTGCGAGCATCGTTGTACGCCCAGCGTACCAAGAAGGGTACGCCCATCGTACCCCCTCTGTGGCATTTTAATTTTGGGCCTTGCTTGTTTGGGTTTTCATTAGGCTAATAAGTTGGACTTTGATTGAATAGTATTGATAGAGTATTTTGGGCCCAATTATTATTATGGACCTTGGATCTAGGCCTATTTGGTGAGGAGGGCCCAATTTAGTAAATTGGGCCAATATTGGGCTGTGTAGGAGAATTGGACTTTGGCCTTGGCCCAATAAGTGGATATATGTTTGGCCTAATGATTATTTTGTTATGTTGGCTAGTTCGGGATTTTCGGTAAGTCGGTGATTCGGGAGTCAGCTTCTCAAGTTCAGAGTTTCGTCAATTGCGAGGTGAGTTATCCTCACTATATCAACAGGGTCTAAGGCACCAAGGTCGACCCTTTATCAGATTGCAATCCGGGTATCGTTGTTATGTTGTTGCCTTGTTATGTTTGCATCCGAGTATTAGGATGGTATATGCTAGTGACCTATTAGGTCGGTATCCTGTTTAGAGTATGTTATGATACGTGATCTGCTAGATCGGTTTGATTGAATGTGAATTGTTATATGATTGTATGTTTATGTGCACATGGTTGTTTGACTGGGGTTGGGTTGAGGCGGGTCTTGCTTTGTGCTGTAGGCCAACATACCCAGGGCGGACCGGTTATTCTGAAGGCCCAACGAGCGGTCCGGATATATTGTAGGCCCCACGAGGGCGGACCAGACGTGCCGAGGCTCGGAGAGTGGACCAGGCCGACTGAAGGCCTGATGCGGGCGGACCAGTCATACTGTAGACTCATAGAGTGGACCAGGTGGGTTGAAGGCTCGGTGCGGGCAGACCGACCACACTGCAGACTCAAGGGACATGACTGGACTCGGAGGGTGGACCAGGTGGACTGAAGGCCCGATACGGTGGACCAGTCACACAGTAGACCTGAATTGCATGACTGTTCTGTGATTTGTTATGATATAGCATGTTACGTATGTATGGTATATGTGGTTGGTATTTTGGGGGTATCTCACTAAGCTTTCGGGCTTACAGTAGTGGTTTAATGTTTTTCAGGTTCTTCACGAGACCGTGGCAAGGCAAAGGCGTGATCGTATCGCTCCTCGTGTTTATGTTTTATGTTATGGTTTTGGGAAGACTCTGATAATAATTGTATTGAAAACCTTTTTGTAATAACATTATGGAAATGGGTTGTTTTTTAAAAGTTAAAATTTGTGGAAATTTTATGGTCGTTACAAGTTGGTATCAGAGCCTTGGTTTGAGTGAATTGGAGGAACATTCGTGTGAATACAGTCTCAAATCAGGGAGAGTTTTTAAAAGAGAATTTAAAATGGTTTTCAAAATACGTAAAAGGAGGACGCGGAGGTACGATCATCCAGAGCCAGTAAGTAACCCCAAAATACCATACATGATATTTGTTTTCGAGCTTTGATAGAACATCATGCTAGTACTAGGTTAGGGATCTTCAGGATTTCATGATAATGTTGCCTGTTTTATGATGCCTGCTAGCCTAGGGTTTCCTACTGTATGAGATTTCCAGTGTTCCTCTAGGAGTGAGGATTGAGCGCTTGTTATGTATATTTGTCACTAGGGTGTTGTGGTAGTACTTAATACAAATATGGGTAGGTGTGGAAGGTAGTATGTGTTGGGTTTTAGCCATAAGATCTTTCCTATGTGCGCATGCAAAACCCTAATGCTTGGATCTAGGCTTTCTAATAAACATGCTTTTGAATCCAAGACTTCTAATGGCTAATTAGGTTAAACAACAATATTAAAACAGATCTAGAATCATACCTTTGAATTCCTTGTTGATCTTGTTTGTCTTGGAGCTTCTAGAGTCACAATTGTCACTCCTCTAATGGCTTACAAACACCAATAGCAAGCAAGATGATTTAGGAGAGAGGAGAGGGGAGGAATTCGACCAGAGGTTCCTTGCTTAAGGTTGTGTGTCGAATTCCCCCATCCATAGGGGCTATTTATACTATTAGACTCATTAAGGGTTTCACCTTAAACCCTAATTGGATAATCTTCTCTTAAGGCTATCCAAATCCATTCCATAGATAACCCTATGGACGATTTGAGCTATCCTAAAGCTCTTAGAATCCGTCCAAGGTGTATCCTAATGGATTTATAGTCTAAAGTCTAACTATCAAACAATTGACAGTTTATACCCTCTTATTTAATTAATCTCTTTAAGTCACCAAATTAATACCAATTAATTTATGACTTATATTAATCAAATAGCTAAATATTATTCCTTATAATATTTACTCTCTCTTAACAAATCATCCTTCAAGTTGCTATGGTGAAGGCAACCCAAAAGGACCATGCACCACCGAATATAGTTATAGCCTTAGACACTATTCCAACAGTCTCCCACTTGGATAAGTCTAGTAACTATACAAGTACAATACGGTTTGCAATCGTAGCTCTCAAAGACGCTGTCAACTCTGATCTAATCAATCTTGTCCTTTAGATAAGGGATCGTACAGTCCTCTGTTAGATATCATGCTGACAATCCTATGGAATGGTTAGTCTAGCATTTAGATTTCTCGATCTTCGATTTATTTGACATAGAACTTAATCGAACACATCAATTCAGTTCTGACCGGGCCCGGCACATAAGTCAAATCAAATCATCGAGTGGCCAAGATATCTCTTCTACCCTCTTAGGATAAAATTTACAGATAAACTTCGACTTATATGCATTTACTTATTCATTAACCAACTATACACAACAATGCGTTT